CAGATGAACAGATTGCTTGAAGATGCACACAGAAAGCTAAAAACAGCAATAATTGCAAAGAAGGAATCATGACTATTAGCCACACCTATTGTACTCTTAGGTATCAGAATTCCACTCGACAAACATATATATCACAGATGGGGTGTAATGTGCAAATTCTAAGACTATTAACAGATTCAAGTGACAAGAGTAATGATGAAGCATCAAACCTAATGATAGGACATCTGGTGAGGGAAATGCAAAAATCAGTTCACTAGACACTTCAATTCATCACCAAAAACCTATATTCCAACCTGAAACAACTGTAAATTTGTAAGATTTTGGTTTGAGTTCAGAAATATTCTGGACACAGGTCCATATAAAGTGTGGAGTTACCCCACTTCTTTCTTTTTATGTGCCATGTCCTTTCAGGACATAGGTGATCATGGCTCTCCACCTCCTCCTATCCCTTGCAGCTCTTAATGAGTTCCTTCCCTCTGCTTCCTCCCCCAGACCACATTCTGTCATACACTTGCTTAAGTTCGCCAGGTATGTCACCATGTTGTTTTCCCTTGTTGCTCTTTTCCTCTATTTGACCTGTGAGTATCAGATTCTCCAGGCCTTCCTTCATCATTATATGTCCCAGAAACTTCAGCTGCCTCTTCCTGATGTGAAGTATAAGCCTCCGTCTCGTTTGTAACCTCTCCTAAGACCTCATCGTTGCTCACATGCTCGGTCCATCATATACTTAGCATCCTTCTATAGAACCACATCTCTGTTGCCTCTGTTGTCTCTTCTTCATCTTTGAGGAAATCGTCCAACATTCGCTGCCGTAAAGAAGGACAGATATCACGTAACAGCTCAGTATTCTTTTCTTTGTTATCAAAGAAATCCTCCTGTCTTGCAGTACTCTGCCCAACTTTTGGAATGTGTCCTTGGCCATCCCAATACGTCTATGGATCTCAGTGTCACACTTACTGTCTTCTGTCAAGACATTTCCCAGATATTTAAACTTCTACATTTGCTTCTACTTTCCAAAAATATGTGCCACTAGAGGACACTCCTTCAGCCTATAAATAGGCAGTAATGTTCTCTGTCATTATCTTTTCTTCCTGTTTCACCCAGGGATGACAAGATGTAGGTTGGACAAGGAAAACACTTTCCCCATGGGGGAATGCACACACGTGTACACAAACACACGTGTACAACACATGCAGTGAGCAACAAAGTCTCTTACCTTTGTTTTAAACACTTTTTCATATTATTTTGTATCAGGTCATTTAATCTGTTGTGTGAAGATTTCCTCTTCATGCCAATACAGACTTTAAGAATTCTGATTTAGTTTCCTGAAACAAGCGACTGACACTATTTCAAGCATGTAAATTTGTGAATAAATTCTGTACTTTGTTTTATTAAAATCATCCCTGTGTTTCCTTGTCATTATCATCCTTCATTAATCTTCTTGGCATAGGTAAATCAACTGTTCATTTTAACCCTTAAACCTCTACATCACTATATGCTCAAACTGGGTGATAGCTTTAGAAGAGAAAGAAATATGACTTAATATCCAGATAGAAATAAAGGAAAAATGAATTTTTGCTGACAATGTGTGTCTTTGGACTTAGTTTAGGAGAAAAGGCATCCAGTAATCTTGACAACAGTCCTTGATGATGTTATAGACAAGCGTATGGTTGCAAGAAAGAAATACGACAACAGCAGAATTAGATTTACGTGGTTTATTTCAACAGGAACGTGTGAGTTTGGGACATCTAGGTCGATCTCTCATAGTAGTTCACACATGTTGACGGTGGTTGATGCTCCCCTGCTGTCAGTAGCTGAATGTGACAAGTCTCTACTCTGGGCACCTGTTGACTGACTGTTGAACTTCCGTGTGACTCCTTTTATAGTGTTTTTTTATGGCTTAACAGGCTCAAAAAATGATGCGAGTATAATTAGGAGGGAAGCATTTTTATTGGATGAAAAATAGAGCACTTTAAATATTATTTTATTTTTCGACTGGAACACGTGTGTCAGGAACATTTGTAAAGAAAGATAATGGTCATTTTGTGACGGGGCTTTGTCCCATTTACATCCAGTTCTCGCTCTTGAGTATTTGCCTGTAAATCAGCCGAGATATGTCTTATTTTATTTTATAACAATGAAGAAGGCAGTTCTTTTCAGCTTCTTTAGGTCATAAAAAATTCTCTAAAGGTTGCCAGCTCCATTCTTCCATAACCTGATGCCATATAAGCAAAGGAGCAACATTGCTTTTTACTAGTTGAGCAATATAGGTATTTATCTATGGTATATATAGGTATTTATCTATGTGCTCACATTACAACCAAATGTGACATAAAGTCAGTTTAAAATGGATTTACTGGCAATACTGTTGAAAAATTGCTCAAGTTTCCTCAACAATTCTCCTTTTGAGGACACTTCATGGACCATAATGACCTCAGGCCCCTCCTGAATGAGAGTTATGTTATAATGAGTGTTTGGTGGTGAAAAGAAAAGAACAACAAGAATTACATTTTTAAACAGCATGTATTTGTTTAATATAGATGATATATTTAGAAAATTGGAGAAAATGTAATTTTTGGTCGCTGATTGTCAGGAAAGTGATTAGGTGTAAGGATAGTGCCAGGAGCTGACCGATATCTTAAATTGATTTGGCGGAGGTTACAGGATAGGTCCAGAGTGGATTTAATTGCTGGTTGGGTTCAACACATGTGTTGATGGATCAAAGTCATGATGGCAGGTTGATTCATGGTAGGGTGCATTGATTGCCATGGTGATGGTGGTGACTATAGATTAGGTGTAGCTGGTAGGCCTGTGGTGGAATGTTTTAGTTGGTGTCTCAACAAAATGGGGTTGTGGTGATAACTGTGAGGGTATACCTATAGCGAGTTGGGTTGCTGAGGTGATGGTGGCAACAAGGGAGGCCTGAAGTTGTGTGATGATGACATTGAGGTGTTATAAATCACAGCGGTGTCAGGGGCCTGGAAGTGTTGATGCTGGCCGTCGTTAGGTTCCATGTGTAAAGAGTTGGGTGAGATTAGTAAACCTGGGAGTGTTAAAGGATGTATTGAGAGAAGCGGTCATGGCAGTGATAGCAACAGCCCCCTGTATGTTGGCAGGTGGTCTTTCAGCTGGCAACTATGTTGGTTGTTACGAGGGGCCTGATTTTAAGCAGATCTATCAGTCCCAAGGGTCATCTTCTTTTCTGGTGGGAACATACATGATTGGTCACTGTATCACTTGTCTCATGGACTGGGCATGATGCTCAGAGGCTATATGCAGAAATAACTTTTTTTATTTTGTTTTCTGCCTTTTTGGTGTTCACATTGAACTGACATGCAGAAAGAGATCTAATTGCAACTTATTATAACAGATTCTACAGGGAGGGATTGTCCCTTGGGGCTTGAGCTAATATTATTTTGAAACTTTACCTAGCAAAAGCCAGGTAAGTATGTGTGGTTGATGAAAAAGAGGTTGGGTCTTTGAGTTTGGTGCTTATAGAGGTAATGATTGCTCCTTTTTTAGCCAATCAGCATCTTTGTTTTCTTCTGTGCTTGATTAGTCTTATTCTTTTATTCATTAATCTAAATTCCAATTGTTAGCATCTCCTGTAATGTAAGGACTAACAAGCTAATCTTGCAGACCATTGCTAGTGTAGTAAGCAGGACCAGATTATCCTATAGACAGTGGTGTCATCCTAACTTTCCAGGAACTGGTTTTAAAAAGGCAGATAATCTTTAGGAACCTATTCTGCTTATTTTCTTTTCAATCTGAGATGGAAAGAAATCACTTTATAGTATCAACAAGAATTAAACCATTTTGATAATTTAATAGAAAACATTTATTTATTAAGATATTTCCAGATTGGAATTCTGTTCTCATTATATTTCTGTTTAGAAGTCTGATGTTTTTTTACTCTAGTGTCATCAGCTGGGTTATGCTTTCTTACCCACATTTGAACTGAATCACTGCAGTCCCCAAAATTCAATGGAAGACCTATCAAATTTATGACTAGAAGATTTGCCACATTATTTTTCAGTAGGTGTGCACACAAGTGTAGCATAACTAACATTTTACCTAGACCATCGGCTATTAATATATAAGATTATTTCCAGATAATCTAACAACTGGTTTGCTTAGCTTTTATAATTTTAAAAAATGGTTTGCACAAACTGATTCAAATTGGTAAGATGCCACCACTGCCTATAGGCTGCAGCATAGAGACCCTTAAGCTTGAATATAATGCTGATTATAAAAAATCTGTTTTGGTTAAATATGGTTGTGATGGAATATGCGCTAATTTGGTTTGCAATAAATAGTAAAAGAGTGCTATTTCTTAAAAATATTTTTATTGACAAACAAAAGATAGCTATTCTTGTTTATTTAAAGAATTTGCAATAGGTTTACTTCAAACTATGTAAATGTAAAAGGTCATAATTCAGCCATGGGAGTAAGGTCAATTCTTACTGTTTGTTGCATGATGATGACGAAACTTGTCTCACAGACTAATGCACTAGTATCGTGAATTTTGTTCAGCTGTGGCTCTGTGCCAATTTTGGGGTTAGCCACTTCCAATTTATAAAGTTTGGAAAATGATGCAAATAAAATATGAAACCTTTAAGAAAATTGACTTTGTTGTATTTAATTAGTATTGATTACCTACAAGTGTTTTAAATTATTTTCAGCTTTTGCAGTTTTTATATTTTACTGATTACATTTTCACTTTGACTAATTATGTTAAATTTGGTTCTGACAAAATAAATTTAAACAGTCATGTGTTTCTAAAGCTACCAAATACTTTTTTAACCAATTGACTTTACTAATTTTGCTATGAACTACTATATCTGAAAAATAAAACCTAATTCACTTTAAATTTGAATTCAAAAAGGTTCTAAAATTGTTGCAAGGTAGAGATTAATTATTAACCAATCAAAATGAAGCTTCCGATTTACTCCGAAACAACCGGAAGTCGGGTAGGTAAGGACTTGGTAGTGTTGTAAGCAATGGCGGACAGTGGTAAACATTCACTGCCCAATCTGAAAATTTGTATCGAAAATGACGAGGAGACAGACAACGAGGATATTTCTTTTAGTGATAAAGACGATTATTCTTTCATCGATGAACCTTATTCCCATCGGGTTGAGTTCAGTATTAGGTTAAACAACAATGAAGGACCTCAAAAGTTTGAGGTAAGTAGAAAAAGAAAATAAAAATGGGCGATTGTTTTTTTAGGAGTTGAGTTTTTCTTACTAAATTTTATGCTTTTCCTTTTTTGTTGTTAAATTAAAAATATATATTGTTTATTGGGGATAATACTTTTAAAAAGTATGAAATTGTTTTTCTAAACTTTAGAAACTTCCCATGTTTGGGATTTTCTTGAAAAATGAATTTATTTGGAAGTAAAATTCGGAGAAAAAACATTTATTTAAATTTCTTGAAAAGAGTTAAAAAAAAAAGCGAAGAAAAAGGCAAACTTTCATTATTTAAATTTTACGATTGATAAACTTTTTTTCTTATTTTCTTTTTAATTTTGGGATTTATCATTTATTGGAGATAGTAACTTCAAGAATCGAAGTCTTAAATTAATTTAAAAATTAATTACTTCTCTTGACTTTAAAAATTGTTTTATTTTTGGGTTTAACGATTTCTGCACATCAAACACCGATTTATTTACGTCTTTAATATTCACCCTATTTTTTTTATTTTTAAATAGCCTCATATTGTGTGAGCCGTGTGAAAATAACTTAGTTTTTAGTTTATTATACACTATAGAATTGGAACGGTAACACGAAATAAAACGGAAAATTGGCACTAGTCAAGAATTATTCCCATTATTGTAGGAATTAAGGAAGATGTTCCCAGAAGTGAAAGCATTATTAGCAACAACTGTGTTTTTAACTAGCCTCATATCAAAACATACCCGATTTAAAGCGGCGATGCGATTATTAAATTATAGTAAAAATAATTTAAATCCAAATAATGCCATAAAAAAACACACCCCAAATATGGAAACTCTGTGGAGACAATGTACTAAAAATATATATAATTTTTTAATGCCACTCAAGACGTAGGTGAATAATATGGCTCTCAATGGATTCATTTTTCGTTATGTGAATTACTGAATTTTTATGATTATTTTTAATTTTGTGAAAGATAGTGGCGTAGTTTTCAGTTACTTTTCCCCGGTTTTGGAATTCAGTTTTCTTTTCCCTTGACTAGTTGTAACCCAAGGCTAAGGAAGTCCAGTGTACCCAGCTATTTTTTTTTAACCCATTACTGTGCAGTGGAGATTGAGTCATACTTACTTTTCCCAAGGGCATTTGTGAGAAAGTGAACATAAAAAAAACTAGCTTGGAATTTGAACTCTGATTGCTGGTTTCATTTTCCCTGCTTGTAACCATTACATTGATTACTCACACACCAGAATAAATTGGTATGTGCCAAGAATTATTCCCATCCTATATAAAGGATATATATGTGGAGGGAAGATGTTCCTCAAACTGAAAAACCTTAAAACTAGGACATTTATTTAGGTAGCCTCCTTGAAACCTAAGCAATTAAGGTGGTGATGTGATTATCCAAATAATGCAAAAAAAGGTGTCAAATGTCTGTGGAAACACTGCACAAAGATTTTAGGAAACCAGAAATTAATACAAGCCAAGAATTATTCTCATCTTATATAAAAAGAAATTTCTAAAGGAACTATGGAACTGACAGATTTTATCACTTAAACATTACATATTTGAGTAGGAGATGTATGGACAGGGATGTTTGTTAAACCTCACCAAGGACATAACATCACTACAACATTTAGCTTTGTGTTTGTGACATGCTAGTTTATTTTCCAATCATTTTGTCAATGTCTATGCTGTGGTATCCTAAATCTAGAAAAATATGGCTGTGGCTTGAAAGATTTTATTTTTATCCAAGGCAGATATTTAGGTTATTGATGGCTTGTCCATTGCCACCCAAATTTTAGTAAAAGATTTCCAAGATAAACAAACTGATCACTAGTTTAATGATTGTCGGCACACAAAATTGATAGAACCTCATTGATTCAAACTTTTTATAGAAATATCAAAAATTACTTTAAAAAACTTTTTAATCTCTTATTAAAAAATTGATTTAAGCTATAGTATATCAACTCCCCACTTTCACCTTTTTTTAAAGGTAATCATCTATTTTGTGATTTAAATCACTGAATTATTTTATTAGGTTGGTGCAAATAGAATTGTAGTTTTTAAACATCAATCATTTACAACTTGTGAATTTTGGCTTATTAATTGAAAAAAAACATTAGAAAATTTGCATTGTTACCAGAAATAAACATGTTTATTTATTCTGGAAGTTTAGAATTCTGGAGTCCTGAAACCAGTAAATTCTTTGATGTGTTTTGAGTTGCTGAAGAATCCTCTCTTGCTTGATTTAGAGTAATCTACTTAAATTATGCCACAGTTGAGATGCTTGAAAAATTGGTTTTCAGTCAGAGAGAGATCTGCTGATTGAACTGGGTGAGGCAGCATTTTGTGGCTTGGTTCATACAATTTTCTGTAGAGAAGACATGTGGTTGAGTGTGGTCATGGAAAAGAATTGATCCTTTGTGATTGATTAGCATTGGATGTAAATGTTGCATTTGTCTGGTAATACCTCTCTGCTGTGATGTTTTTTTTCAGGATTGAAGAAATTATAGACCTTATCTGACCACCAAAGATAAGCATAAGCTTCTGATGAAGGCTATTTTTTTTAGAGGGGTCAGGGGTCAAATGTTTTGGTACTTCACCTCACTTCAACTCCTGTGGGCAATGTCATCAGTTGTTTTGAATTCATTTTTACTCACCTGTCACAATGTAATAAAAAAATTTTTGATCATTTTTTTGTTTCCCCAAAACAAACACAGAGCAAGCATTGTAATCAGGAATGTTTTGATTTTTGTTCAGCTTGTGCAACACCCATTTGTCGAGCTTCTTTTTTTTTTCAAAATTTGGTGGAAAAGTCAAAGAGGGGAATAAGTCAGCATTTATTTCTACAACCTCTTAAGTTGCTTTGCAGGAGTCTGTTTTAATAATGGCTTTCAGTTGATTCCTTGAAGATTACCTTGGTTGATAGATCCCTGAAGAAGGCTGGAGTGCGCAACAGTTGAAATGTAATAACAAAGATGAGGACATTAGTCTGCATGTAAATAATGGTAATAATAATACCTCCTTCCTCATCTAAGAAATTCAGACAGAAATCCTTCTCGCGTCTCCTTTTACAAAAACTTTGGAACTAACATTGAGTTTTTATCTGAATTTCTGGAATGAGGAGTTCTCATTATTTTCACTATTTATATTTGGACTATTGTCCTCATCTTTGTTGTTTATGCTAATGTTTCAGCCGTTGTGCCCTCCAATCTTCCTCAGGTGTATATTAATCTGGGTAACCTACTGGGAATTTTGAATTGAACCCTTTATTTAATCTACAGGAATAGACTATTCTTGGTGGAAACAGGCAAACAATAACTGAACTGTACTAAATAAAAATAAGTACTAGACAATATCCCTCGATATTGTAGATTAAATAAAGGGTTCAATTCAAAATTCACCAAGTTACCCAGATCGGTAGGAAGGTTGAAGGGTACAAAACATTTTGATGAGGACACTAGTCTGAATATAAATAGTGTGAATAATAACATTGAGTTGTATCTTTGATCTTATCACAGTCAAATGCTTGGTTGATTTTATTGCTGTATATAACATTTGGATTACATACAATGAAATTGCTCAGATTGGTTGTTTTTTTTCTTTTAATCTTTAAATCTGAAATAAACAATGATAAGCAATGAAATCCTGACCACTATTAGAACTCTGTCGAGTGAAACTTGTGCTTTAAAATAGCATATGATATGAGCATAGTCATTTCTTTCAAACTTGCACAATAATCTGTTTATATTTTTGAGATGAGGTATTATGTACACTGTTTACATTATTCAGACTATTGTCCTCCTCTTTGTCGCCATATTTATCACAACATTTTGGCCGTTGTACACTCCGGCTTCAAGGACACATGACAGTGAATAAAGACATTAGTTAGATCCTGTGACAGGACCCAAAGAGTATGAGTTCAATACCCAGTTAAGGCGGTAGAGAACTTTGAGAGGGAAATTAACAGGAGATAACTGACATTCATTAGATATGGCACGTGGAACTAGAACAGTCTACCCTAGTGAGTGAAATAAAGGGTTCAGTTCGACATTCCAACCATCTGAAGAAGGCCTGAGTGTACAATGGCCGAAATGTGATAAATATGGCGACAAAGATGAGGACAATAGTCTGAATAATATTGCACAATAATATACAGGAACAAAACTGGTCATAACTTTGATTTTACAAATGTTGCCCTAATTAAAAAAGAACTTAATTCTTTATGTTGAAAGTACTTTGAGGGATTACTAATAACTATATTACCAACTATAAATGCACATCAAAGACATATTGCAACACCAGCCATTATTGAATCCATTCTTAAAGAATGTAATGTTTATCTAAAACAAACTGTGCATAAAAATATTCCCAAATCAACATGTGAAAAACCAACAAACATGTCTATTAGACACACACTTACAATTATTCATCTGAATCCCATATAGACAAACTAGAATTATTATACACTTACATATATAAAGCAATATTTATGGGTTTTTCTATTAGGCTTGAAAGCAATTAATTTTTTTGAAATTCGAAGAGACGTTGTCATCTCTCCTTTAATTTGGAACACCATAAATTATACTAACATTTGTTTAACAAATTAAATGCATGTGAAACCAGATTAACCAATGGAAATCAAACAACAGAAAAGTAAAAATACCAGCATTTCTTTCTTCTTTTTTTTCCTATCTCATTCTCTGATGAAGCTTTAATAAAAGTGAAACATATTTAATTGATAAATGTTTCCTATTTCTTGTTTATCTTATTCTGTTGAATTCTGGTCCATATTTGATCCCAACTCATAGTTCTCTGTCTGTCTGTCCCTTTGCCTGTCTGTCTGCCTAATAGTACCTCATGGTATATAAGTCACCTACAAGACTATTCTACTCTGCCCTGTCCACAGCTACTGCTCATACCCATTGCTTCCTTCTCCATCATCCTTTTTTGGTCTTTGCCTTCTTTTTTCTTTGGGGGCCCAGGTCAGTGCCAAATTACAGTTGTCATTTAGTTCTTGTGGGGCTGTCAGCTTCTTTACTGTATGGTAATTGTTCTGATGAACTTTCCTCTATGATACAATAAACTTCATTCATTTAAGTGTAGTACTAGATTGGCGACAAGGTTTCATCATTTTACAGTTTAAATCGATAGCTGTTGCCATAAGTTCTTTGCTAACAGTTTCTTCTCTCACACTTCTTGCTTGTGGAACTCTTTTCCAGCTTCTTGTTTCTTAGTTAACTTTGATTTTCAAAAATTTAAATGCAATGTCAATCGTTATCTTCTGTCTTTTTGATTACTCTTCTTTTATTCTCGTTCCTTAATAATGTTTTTCTTTTTTTTTTATTCTTTCACCCTCAGTAACCTCTTGTGTCTTAGTGGCTTTATTGTCTTGCATGGCATGAAATAATAAAAATAAAAAAAAACCCCCTCAAGGCAATACCTATAAAGGTATAGGTATATCCTTGATCGCCCTAGTATATAGAATGGGTGTGCGTGTAGCGTAATGTAACAATTATCTATGCATAAAGTAGTATCACTGACCCAAGTTCAAATTTTGGGTAACCTGTTGCATTCACTTTTTTGCAAAAGCTTTTTATGTGCAATGAATATTTTGGTAAATATACCAGGAGTGATGGTCATTGTTCACTTTCTTAATGGGTATCTATCGTTATTAAATAAAAAAAGGGTGGATTATGGCATATTTTCAAGTCAAAACTAAAGTTAAATTCCATTTTTATTTAGTTAAGGTTGATCATAAAGACATTTCACTTTGGGTACTATGTATTTTCAGATATCTACAGGGGGTCTTTATTGGAATGTGCTTAACCCCCCCTCCTCCAGTAAGGGAGATTACTGTGATTTTTAGGAATGTGAGAAAATGGTATTTTGATAATTTGCCAGACAGGGAGAAGAAAGAAAAATAAAAAAAAATAAAAAAAAATACCAATCTTTATTTAGGAAAAAAAAAAAAATTTCAAAGCTTTGCTATTTGGATTTTCTGAAGGATCTTAAATTCTTAAGTTAATGATTGAAAATACTCCTTGCAAGTTCCATGATTATAAAATACTTGTGGAAATACATCTATTGCATCATTAAATAGTTAAGATTTACAAACTTTAACAAAATATTGCAATAACAGGTCGTTATCTAAAGTAAGAGGGTACAAATAAAAAAAAGTTGAAATTTGCAAGTTTTTCTATTTCACTGAAGCAGATTAACCCTTTAGCATTGACCCATCCCTTGCCACTGTAAACACTGGCTGTGTGTTCAGCCTGCTGTTGACTCCCACCCAGGCCATATATACTCCGCTATAATATGTGGTGACATCATTGCAAATAATGCGGGAAGTCATGCAAGCACCTGAGACTTTGACCACAAATAGTGCGATTTTGGGAGGAAATATTTATGGGGCGATTTTGAGCGTGTTGAATGCTAAAAGAGTGAAATATGTCTTCTCTATTTTCTCTTTCTTTTTCTCACTGGAAGTGAACAATGTCTCTGACATGTCATTTCAGTCTTTCCTTGCAATCAAAAACGGAATAATCCATTATTTATGATATATTGGCAGGATGTAACTGTTGTGCTAACTAAGGAACAAGCAGAATTATTATAGTGTTTTTTTTTTCTTTATTCACAGACCAAGAAGTACGGCAACAAAGATGGTGATTTTCTTACTGGTATTGATATCACACAGAAGGTAAAGAAACTTTATTTTTTTTTTTATTTTTTTTTAATCCTGATAAAATGTTCAAGTAAGACAGTCGGTAATTGTTTTCTTAAATTGATGCAAAAGTTCCCAGCTGTAATTTTTGCATAATGTTAAAGAAATCTTTATAAGTCTGTTAAAAAAATATTTAACTTTATTATTTTTGCATACATTTTCTTCAAGAATTGTTTTTTAAAAATTTTACTTCATTTTGACAAACTTATGGCCACATCACAATGAAACACAAGTTCCTGTATGATCACCAAAATTAAGCTTGCCTTGATTACAGATATATGGATGTTGACTTCAGTCTAGGAAGCCTCTGCCCAGTGATGCCATGTCATCACTGCACTGGCTGTATACATATCTGTAGCTGAGTCTATTCCATTGTGCTACATCATTGTTGACCCCCACAAGAAGGTTCATCTGCTCTTTCAAAATTTTGGGTGGGGAAATGGTTAAGTTGTTAATAACCCAACCTTGTAGCAAGAAATACTGGGTTACACAGTACCAGTAGCACTTGTACAGTGACCTTCTTATCTTTACAGTGGAAAATCAACAGTGAATCATGAAAACTGGTGACAGTAATGCAGTAGGTGCAATCATGTGTGCTGAAAATGGCCTATAATGTTTAAAAGAAAAAACAAAGAGCTTAAGTTCAAGGTTAAAGAACGCTGTGAAAGACTTCAGAATTTGCAAACTGTTAGTCACAAATTAAAGACATTATAGAGTTTAGTACAGGGTTTACAGCCACATGTCATTGAAACAGTTCCTGTGTGATCAGCAAAGTTAAGCAATGTTGAGTCTGGTCACTACCTAGATGGTGACCATATGGGAATACCAAGTGCTGTAAGTTTGGATGTGCAGATGGTGTAATGGATAATGGCTTGGAATTGTTAATGGGAGAGTGAAGTTCCAATTCCAGTTGGATTCGTTATATTCACTTACGTGCAAATACCTTTGGGGAAAGGTATGAATCCACTTCTTCTCCCCCAGCTATGAGTTAATTAGTAATATTTGTATCACTAAATCATTATCTCCCAAAAGAGATTCTTAAAATCTAAAAGTATTTTCTGGCTTTAAATAACCTCCAGTGGGTTTATATATATATATATATATACACACACACACACACTTTTTTTTTTTCCTCACTGATAGCACAAATCAAGAGTAGATAATAAAAAATGTAACTGCCAAAATAATGAGTTGTCTCTTAATTGGGCAATGATTGATTAATAATATTGTTTATAGGTCTAACATATGATCTGATAAAGAACAAAAATTTTACATTTGTTCACCTGAAACTCATTGTAAAAATAGATCTTATAATCATAAACTTAGTTTAGGTAACAGTAAATACAAAAATAATACTGCTCTCTATAAATTTTACTGGCAAATAAAAGATGGTGGAAAAAAAATTACGTTGTAAATAATGGCTAGAATGAAATCTTACATTGGTAAAGGGAAAAGATGTAACCTTTGCTTTCTCAAAAAATTGACTATTTTAAAAAAATTAAATAACCCTAATTTTATAAACAAAAGAAATTAATTAATGGATACATGTAGACATAAAAACAAATACCTTTTGAAATGTGAAAGATTGATTTCCATTCAAGATAACTTCATATTTTTTTTTTAACTTGATTTATTTACTTTTACTTTATGCTCAGAATTAGATGTATAATTGTCTATTTACTAGTTTGCATTAGTCATTTCTAATTATTTGTACATATGTTTGTTCTATTACTAATATCATATCAAATGAAAAATATATTAAATATTAGTAATATGTATTGTCATTTGTTTTATCTAGAATGGATGTGTATGTCTTTATAAGTACATGAATCATAGGGTGTGTGTATATGTATCTATGTGATGTTATGTTTCTTGTGTATATTTACAGTTTAGTTTTGTATATATTACATAACTTTATGATCTTCTCAAGATTATTAGTGGAACTATAACTTAGTTTTAAATTGTTTCTGTTAAATATTTTACTAAGTGGTTTACTTTTAGGAAAATGTTGACACAACAATAAAACTCTAAACCAATTTAATAATCTGAATCATAATACAAGTTCCAAGGAGAATATTGTTAAGGATACTGGCCAATGTAATTGTAGGAATCCTGACCAATGCTCATTGCCAAACAAATGTTTAACTAAATCTCTTGTTTATCTTTGTTCTATCTCTACATTGGAAAAACTGATGGTTGAAACATTCTATATTGGTAGTACTAAGAATTCTTTCAAGATTAGGTAGTATCAACATATGTTGTCTTTTACTAATAATACTTATAGAAATATAAGTATGACATTCAACTGAAACAGCAGACCCTACAAACCTTACAGAAAACCAAACAACTCGGTATACATTATCAAAATTTCTACTCCCCACATCAAAAAACATACTTATACAAATATCCATATCTATAAATAAAAGAATTTTGATAAATACTAGTACTCACCTAAAAATATTCAATGAAAATAAAAAAAAAACATGAATCAACCCTAAGAAACAGCAGATAATCAAACAAACTAGAATACATCATGAATGTCTCAATTCCACCAATGTTGCATTTTGCATGAAGATTGACATTTGACCCCCTATCATCAAAAGTATAGCCACAGATCACATGGAGATAACTTTTGTGGAAGAAATCCAGTTGATTGATATGGAACCTATATGGGGGTCCACAATTCTGAGCTGAGTGTGGTCAAAATGACTGCCCCATAAACCTGCATTTTGGTGTCCAATTGGATACTTCTCTCATTCCATAGACGGTGACAAAGCTTCCCATGTTCACCAAAAATACAATTGTTATTGTCATCACCCCCCACCACCACCATTACTACCACATCACAATTACCATTACCATATCAGTCCACAATTATACTTACTTCTCCCTCCCCCAGCAAAATTAATACCACTGCATAAATACTAATAAGTATTACAAATTAGAATTTCTACCATTTACATATGCATAATCGCCAAAAGCAAGCAAATAACTTGCTTTAAAATAATAACAAAACAGCCTTAAAAAATTAAAAATGATAGCAATTTTTATCCATCATAGTATTACACAGAGCCCATCATACGTATATACGTGCATGTGAGAAAATTTTATTTAGCGAACAAAAATATAAAAACAGTCTGCGTGTTGACAGTGCAACAAACAAGAATATTTGCTACACAATCCAACATTGAATACAGTGACCAAATGATTACGTATGTACGCAACAACACATATGTGCATATATGCTCAGTCCCACATTGTTCACATATGTTTATGTTTGTGTGAGCTCTGGTGGATGAGTGTGTGTGTGTCTGTGTATGTCAATGAATGTACGTGCATGTATGTATGTTTGTGTATGAGTGGCATCCTGACGACAATTTTTCCTCCCACTTCCATAAAAACACTGATACTTACGCAACCATATATAAATCCAAAATTTTAAAATTAATCAGTTTGTCTGATGATGTAAAATAGCATGAAACCCAGGGTCACAAACTCATCAATCCAATTAAATATATATATATATATATATATATATATATATATATATATATATATATATATATATATATATATATATATATATATACTAGTAGTAGAGCCCGGCGTTGCCGGGGATGTAAGAGGTAGATCAAGTATCGACCATCACAAAGACTGAAAAATAAAATTGACAAAGATTATTATTTAAGGTTGACGGACACGCATGTCTTAATTAGATTTTTTTTTTTTTTTTTTTTGTTTTGTTTTGTTTTTTTTTTGTTTTCTTACGAATTGGTCAAACTCAAACAAAAACATTGTTTTCAATTGGCTTGTAAATGGAATTTTGAAAGCATTCTGAATGTAAAAATAAAGAAAAAAGTGTGCAAGACAATAAGAAACACTACCTGCCAAAAAAAAAAGTGAAGTTTTGTTGAAATCTGTTGAAAAATGTAGGAAATCCGATCCATATATAAACGAACACACACACGCACGCATTCACGCACACAGAGACACACAAACAACCTGGGTTTTAACCCGATGTGAGTTGTCCCCCATTCATTAATACCTCTTAATTGTGTTTTCAAATTGATTTTGTGCAAAAACAATTGTTTTTTCAATTTTTGGCACTGTTAGAACCACTGCAAGGTAATTTTACGTAGTCCTGTGAAGTTTTGTTGAAATAAGTTGAAAAATGTAGGAAATCTGATCCAATATATAAACGTACAGACACACACACACACAATCTGCGTTTTATAATAAGTAAGATATATATAAATGAAGTTGTAATCTTTAAATGTTTGCATGAAATAAGATTTGACATAAAGTTCAGCAAATAAAAATATAATTGTGTATATATATATATATATATATATATATATATATATATATATATATATATATTTTTTTTTTTTTTTTGTCACAGATCTTTTGTCTAGATGTGGAATTTATTTTAATTGTAGGAAGAAGCAGAGAAACGAGAAGAACGTGCTCGGAGATTTGGTTTGGAAGACACAAGTCAGCAGGTGGACGTAGCTGCCCTCTACAGTAGGTGAGATTGAATCTGGTTACACCATACACTATTTCATGGGGTTGGCTATACTCTGTTTAGAACAAAGACCTTGCTTTTACTAGAAAGTTTAGCTTCACTGTTAGAGCAACAGATGAACAGTTATAAAGTTTGAGGTTCTCTTGGATGGGCCTTTCATCACACTCACTTTGAACTTAAAAATCTCTAAGATTGAAATAGATGTTCGATTGAAAATTCTTGTATTAATAACTGGAAATTGATAAATCAAGTTCAATTTATGGTTGTTGTCTTGTCATTAAGAATCCAACCCTCCTTGCAATATTGAGATAATAAACAGCGGAAAAAAAAATACATTACAAACCTGCTTTTAAATGATTATTTCTGAGCAGTGTTCATCTATTGCCCAGTTCACACTCCTCCTGGGTCTTTTGAACAAGAGTAGAGGTTTATCCCTTGTTTCCTGTTTGGGTTTCTGGTTCCTTCTAAAGTCTTCTCATTCCCTTTCATTCCCAGTAGCCCTTTGCATCTTAGTGGCATTATTGCCTTGCTTGAGGTGAAATAATTTAAAAAAAATAATAATTGCTATTATAGCTATTGTTAGTTATGACAGATGAAGATGCATGTATCCTCATTTAGTTTGTTGGGATACATGTTTGACAGTACAAACCTTGAATTAAGCATAATTTCATGTTTTCATTCTGACTCCTTAAAGGCATGAATCTAATCTTTCCTTAACTGGACCAATTACTGCTTACATGTTGACCTGTTGTCATGCTTGAAAAACCAGTAGAGTTGATAATTGAACCCATACGACAGCCAGTAAATCAAAGTGCTTAATTTCAAGTTTGGTTGGCGTTTCCTATCTGGGAGATCGGGAGAGCGGGCCAATATTATTCCATTCAGAAGAGGAATTCCAAACTCAAAGAAAATAGCAATAGTCATAAGTGATGATGAATTAGCCCTTTAAAATTTAATAAGAAAAAAAAAATGCCTGTTTGCTTCAGTGTACATTGCCCTTTGGGATATTTCAAAACCTGAGGTTTAGAAAGTGTGGCTCCTAAAATATAACTCATATCAAGTTTCCAAGGTTTTTTTTTTTTATAAGCTTAATTTATACATTCAAATAAATAAATTTTTATCTAACATTGTAAAAATACAACACTGAAAAAATTACTGTAGGACAATCTAAAGTGGAGGAACAAGTGAGGAAAATTGGTATTTCAATACCTGCTTAAGACGCAAGATGTGCATTTTTTTCCTGGTGCTGAAAAAAAATGTCTGTCTAGTCCTGGTGCCGTGAATAGATGTGCATCTTGTTTCAGTGCCGTGAATAGATGTGCATCATGTCCTGGTGCCTAGAATATAGGTACGTCTTGTCCTGGTTCTGAGAACAGAGGTACGTCTTGTCCTGGTGCCTGGAATAGATGTGTATCTTGTCATGGTGCGGAAAAGGATGAGCTTTTCCTGCTGTTGCCTGTATATGTTTTGTTAATTCCAGTAAGAGCTGGAATTAAAAATACTAATTTCCAACAAGGCTGGCAAGCCCTCCCCATTTAGAAGATTAGTGCAATACAATCCTCCCTATCATCCTCCTCATTTGGGTTTGTGCTGAATGAAGTAAAGGTCTATAACACTATTGTCTGAAAGGATTTCAAATGTCTCTATAGCTTAAAGATAGAGAAAAAAAAATTTAGTTGTTTTCCTCATTTCAAAAGTCCTTTACTGTAAAGAAATGAAAAAAAATGTTTTTTTTTTTCTTTTTCTTAAGCACCTATATTAAGGAAAAAAAATCTTTTGAACCCTGCCTCTATACCAATGGGGAAAGACATTTTATTTATGAAATAAAACCTTTATATTAACTGAGTTTAATTGGGTACACAGACATTTCGTTTGGGGATATGGAGGAAGGTTGTCAGTTTTTCAGAAAAAAAACTGCCATCCTTACTTGAAAATCAGCATTCAAAATCCTGGCTTTTACTTGGGCTTGAACCTTGACTGTTGGTGCCTTGGGGATGTGTGTAATTATCTAAGCAGTTGTGGTGGTGGTTTATAAATTTTTATATGAAAAAAAAACTTTTTGATTGCTGCTTAATTTGAAATTATTATACAAGTTTTGTCAGAAAAGTAACAAGAGTTAGTGTGAGCTATGGGTGGGTTTGGGATTAGCGGATTGTGTCACTGTGTGACATAATATATAAGAAATATATAACTGTGATTTTGACTCTCTGCAGCCATTGTATGTTTTTTTTTATGTGTTCTATTAACAGCACATCAATTTTAGGCCAATACAGGATTTGACTTAGAGCAATGAACCAATCTGAAGTTTCTGGTCTGGTTGGAGGAAACTTTGTCAGAAGCACTCGTAATACTACAGTAACTGTATAGAGATGAGTCAATGAAGCACTCCTGGATTTTTGAGTGGCACAAGACGATCAAAGAGGGATATGATGTGGAAGATGACCCCAGGAGCAGAAGGTTTTCAACAAACAGGACTGAGGTCAAAATTGAGTTTGACTTTGGACTTTGACTTTCTCCAGCCTTGGCGACTCTGGACTCTTCCACTGAAGGCTCTGGCATTTTGTCTCCGAGATGTACTTGAAGATCCACAACTCATCACCAGTGATAACTCTCCCAAGAAAGTCTGGTTGGGTTTCAAGATGCTTGAGGGATATCCTGACCCACCTGCATGTGCACCCTGCCTTCTGATCATGATTCAGCAGCTTTGTCACCCATGCCCAAATCGTTGGTGATAATCTTCTAGACGCTTGTTGCGGTTCATGTTCAGCTCACTTGCGATCAGTCGAACAGTCAGTCGATGATCACCACACATCACATGCTCAATGTTGGCTTCAGTCCTGCCCGCAGAAGGCCTTCCACTCTTGGAATTATCTTCCACGTGCTCCACATCCTGCAAAAAGGTGAAACCGCAGTTAGATACTTCCCCTATATGTCACATAGTGACACAATCCACTAATTCCTACCCCACTTACAACTCAATCAATGTACTAAGTCCTGTTACTTTTCTTACACACCTCACTGATTACTTTGCAGGCACTTAGCATATTCACCTTGGACTTATTGAAGACTAATGAAGAACATATAATTTATTATTTCTCAAAGAGATAAGCTCATAGTAGATAAGTTTAGCCTTATTTGGCACAAGGTCATAACAGTAAGACCTGCAGTAATGACAGAATTTGGTAGCGGTGGCTTGATGACAGATACAAGAGCCTCCAGACACACTAATGTCTTTTACCAATGTCCCCAAACCATCCCAGAAAAATCTAAAACTGTCTCAAAATAGAAGTGTTTTTAATTTTTATCTGAACTTTTCGGATGAGAAGTTATCATTATTTACACTATTTATATTTGGAATATTGTCCTCATCTTTGTTGTTCTTATCATCATGTTTCGGCCATTGTACCATCTGGCATTCCTCAGTATATTGATCAATAAAAATCATAAGTTGATGTTAAAAATTGCTGCAAAAATGTTGATTTATTTAAGATGGAATTATCTATGATGACATATCTCTAATTTGTATTTTGATGTATTTATTTTCAATTTTTTTCATTGAATTGTTCACATATATTGCATATGATCCATTATTGTACATAATTAGATTACAATAAAATGTGTATTTTATATGAATACTACTTTTTGAAAATTAAGATGTAGTAGAGATGGGAGGGCTGTATCATAGATTCAGTGGGGGGTGGGGAGGGCTGTATCATAGATTCAGTGGGGATTCAGTGGGGGTGGGAAGGGCTAGATTCAGTGGGGGGGGGGAGGGCTGTATCATAGATTCAGTGGGGGTGGGGAGGGGTATCATAGATTCATCTGTATATAGATTCAGTGGGGGTGGGGAGGGCTGTATCATAGATTCAGTGGGGGGTGGGGAGGGCTGTATCATAGATTCAGTGGGGGGTGGGGAGGGCTGTATCATAGATTCAGTGGGGGGGGGGCTGTAGTGGGGGGAGGCTGCTATCATAGGGGGGGGTGGGGAGGGCTGTATCATAGATTCATTGGGAGGCTGGATTCATTGGGAGGGGGAGGGCTGTATTATAGATTCAGTGGGGGGGATCATAAGACAGCTTCACTAGTCCTGGTCAATAGTATAATGAAAAAAACTACGTAAAAATGATTAGGAAATAAATTTAAAAGATATTAAAGTTTTAAGAATAAATAAATACAAAATGAAATTTTAATTTTCATTATCAGTAATTTTTATCATACTTTAAGACCCCATTGATTCAATTTTTATATAAAGAATATTAACACATTCCAATTATTTCTAATCAAAAAAGTTTTTAAAGTATTCATTAAAAAAAATGTTCATCTGCTTTGTGCCATCATTAAATTTTCCATGTTTATCATTTTTTAAAATTCTCCCTTTTATTTCAATTTAATTTATGATAAGCAGAAAACAATATGTAAATGTATATGAATGGTTCAATCAAGTTTTTTTTAAACAAAAATTGACAGAAAAAAAATATTTTCTTGCTTTGTTTATTAAAGCAACATTCGATCTTCCAATCAGATCCTAATGTTTTTCACGTTTAGCAATAAATAATAGAAATATCTATGTTCAAGTCCTTCTAACTTCATTTTTCATTTGGGTTTCAGTCAACAGTTTAAAAATAACTTAAGTTTTGTTTATTTTTTTTTTGTGTATTTGTGTGTGTGTGTATGTTCCATCTATTATAGGTGAGTTGTAAAAATATTTATTTCAAATTATTTGCTTTTAAAATAAATATAATTCCATCTCTCAAGTACCTAACCAGTTATCCAAAAACTAACATCCTATCATTGCTGGGATGATGTTAATCTTGAACCCTAGCATAGATCTTGGTTTAAAAGTTGCAGTTTAATGTTTCCTAAGAATTTGTTGAACACAATGGAGGAGATGGCTGAATATATGTTATCAGCTGGTTGAAGAGAGCAGCTTTGAAGCTTTGGTTTTTTTTTTTTTTTTTTTTTTTTTTTTTTTAAAGAACTTAAAATCCTACTAGCTTGTGACCGAAAGTCAAGTGTGTCCCTGACCTCTTTTTGTAATATTTGGTGAATTGATTCAGTGCTTCAATGACTAAAGGTTACATGCAGATTTGCTGATCTCACCGTTTATGTTATTAACTCAATTTTTAAAATTTGAAATAAGTATTTTCTTTTTCTTGTCTTAGTTTGGGAATTCGTGAGGAAGATGTTCCGAAAGATGAACGAGGCATCAGATTGGAAGCAGTACATATACGGGGAGTGAAAAACATGAGCACCAAAGATGTCTTTGAGTATTTCCAGGAATTTGCACCGTCCAGTGTGGAATGGATTGAAGACAATTCCTGTGAGTATGCAACCAATACATTTTAGATTTAAAAAAAAAAAATTGATATAATTTTAAAAATATTTTTTTGTTTAAGGCAGTGAATTCTGATATAAATTTTGAAAGAAATGTTTTTTTTTTTTTGTTTTTTTTTAAATGGTTGTTTTTGTTTTTTAAAGCCAGAAAGCAATTAATATCAAACATTCATTTATGTAATTATCATGTATATATTTTGTGAATAAATATTGTTTATAAACTCCTTTATTGGAAATATTATCAAATATGAAACGTGAACATTATCATTGATAACTCTCTGCTCCAATTTGTGGACTCTAGTTACTATATTTTTAATACTTGGTATAATGCAAAAATATCAATGATAAAATCAATCAATAACTATTTATACTGGGACTCAAGCAGGCAATTACAAGTAATCCATAATAATAGTTTAAATTTTGAAATAACATCTACTTTTGGCATATGAATTTTTAAAAATTGTTTCTAAATCTTTGTCTTTCAATTCCGCCTCACCTGCTATCCTATTCCGACGCATGTATGAATCATGCTGCACTGTTTGAGAACCACTAATCTAAAAGATGCACCAAGTTTTTGCATTGGAACAGTTCATAAATAGTTCTGTAATTTCCAATATCAGATGCCATGGAACACTTACAGTATGTTCATTGAACTGTCCCCCACAGAGGGTGTTGTTGAGATAATTGAGTTATCTTCCCTTGACCAATTGCATGGTTGGAGAAGAGGCAGATTGAGAATAGTAGTATTAGTAGAAAATCTACATAGCAGCAGTATTAGCCAATCAGGATCCACCTTGACGTAAGCTAGTAGCAGGAGCTGGCTATGTAAGCTCAGTGTTTAGAAGACCTTAGAGCTGACAACCTGGATAGAAGAATCTATGCTAGAGGAATTGGTAGCAGAACAAACGAGATGGCATGCAACATGAAGACTCCACCACAGTTCAGAGGGGGGTGGGGAATGATTGAGAGACCTGGAGAAAGGATTTAGAACTGTGAACTATAGATTTTCCTAAGAAGAAGTGTGCTATTGCAGTTCAGTTGAGTTTGACAGGAAGAGCAAGACTGGGATCATCAGAGTTGGCCATTTTAGAAATAAGCACAGAAACGGAATACCAGCTGCTCATTGAGAAGCTTGATAGAGTTTTTTGTCGGGATAAGAAATTCTTTAATGCTTAATTGGCATTGGAAGATTTGTGAAATCTGTTATGGCTGCAGAAACTTTGAAAGAAATATTAAATCTTGGTAGATACTCGCCTATTGTGAGATACTATATTGATAGTAAATCGCTTGTTGAGTCTATGTACTCCACAAAACTAGTTCAAGATAAAAGGCTCAGGATCGATATATCTCTCCTTAAGGACATGACTGAGCAAAAGGAGATCTATGTAGTATCCTGAATCAAGCCAGACCACCAAAGTGAAAGCTCTATTGCTTATTTAAAAGAAAACCGTGCAAGATGAGATGCTTAACCAATTCAGAGTTGATTACAGCCTCTAGTACTTTGTCAAAAAGAATTAAAAGACTAATAGGTTGATAAGTAGAAATATCAGGCCATTCTCCTGAGTTCTTAAAAACAGTATGTACAGATGAGGATTTCCAACAAGCAGCAAACCACAATGTACAGTTTAGAGAGAACAGGAGCCTTTTTGGGGGCACATTTCTTAAGGACTATTGCAGGGATACCATCAAGTATACATGCTTTGAAGGGATCTAGTTTAGAGATGATAACAGAAAACATGGGCAGAATTATATACATATCACTCAATAGGGACTCAGTTCTAAGTGGAAAGTTAGGCAAAGATACTTCAGATAAGTGATGGATAGAATTTGAAGAGAATTTACAAGCAAAACATCCTGTTTTATCAATTGAAAAAAAATTAACACCAAATTGAGTGAAGATAAGAGGTATAGAAGATTTACTCTTATCTAACACATTATTACTGTAGTCATGAGAGCCAAACATGTTTGAAGCTCTGGAGCATCTCATTCTATTAAAGAAAGACATGTCTTCTTTCAGGACACGTTTACAATTGTTACAAGCAGACACAAATAGGCTTCTGTCGTGATTAGAACTATCATGTTGAAACACCTGGAAAAAGTGAACCTGTGGGTTAAAGTGGCAGAACAGGTTTTCACTGTTCTCTCACAAATATCATGACATAGCAGTGATTGAAAATGCAGGGACAAATGGCTTCATGCCTAAATGTTAGGGCTAAACAAATATCAGCAACTGCAGGTGAAATTCAATCTCCATTGATCAATTTTATTTTCGTTTCTGAAAAGTACAAAGCAATAATAGTATTTGAAAATGGTAGTCTGGCACAAGGCCATCTGGAGGGACTCAGTGAAGATCAAACTTGTTACATTTGTAATACTCTGAGACTAACTATGATAATGGCAAAGCACTTTATGTAATGAATTATTTGTGACCCTGGATTTCATTCTTCATTTTCAAATAATTTGCTTGTGTGTGTGTTTTTTTTTTGTTTTTTTTTTCTTGAAATTGTCTGTACCACTTTTGAGATGTAAGCCTATACTTGTGTGTCTTATGTGGTTTGGTTGCAGGTAATGTTGTGTGGGCTGACAGTATTAGTGCTGCACGTGCCTTGACTAAACTGAGCATTAGTCAGGAGAGTCTGGTATCTGCAGGGCTTGGCCAATCACTGCCTGATGTTAGCCAAAAGAATCTTGGGAAGGAAACACAAACAAAAGAAGACATGGATGAAAATAGCAATACTTCAATTGTTTCTTCAGGTAAGTAAGGGCATGTGGCATTGCCAATTTGGGGTAGGGATTGATGGTGAGGCCATGTAATTGTCAAGTATTATGGCTTTCAATAAGCAGAATTTATAGATCCGTGCTTTTGTTGGGTAGAAAATTTATTGCTAAAAAAAATGTATTGATCATTGTGGCTGAATCAGTGTTGAATAATGTGGATATATCTACATATTTGCCTTTTATTTTTGTGTGTGTATGCATGGGGGTGGGGGTGTATATGTAGGTGTATTTTTTTGTGCACATATCTACATATTTGCCTTTTATGTTTATGTGTGTATATATGATTTGGTGGTGTATATGTCGGTGTATCTGTGGTTGCGCACGTGTGTCCACATTTCTATGTGTGGGGGTGTATGTGCATGTATATGATATATATGGAAAGATATTTGTCTATCTAAAGAACCTTCCTTCCCATGTAAAACAGTCATTAAATTTATCTCCTTGCAGCTGCCTCTCGGGGGGATGGAAACAGTTTCTCCTTGGAGGTTGAGGGTGAGGCTACCAGTTCAGAACCTGTGGAAATGAACGAACAACCAGCTGACCCCAAAAGTGATGGAGAATTATCAAGCTCAGAAGATGAAGCTGACACGGTGAGTGTGTGTTTGTGTGTGTAATGTTTCCTACTCTGCTCTTTTTCTTTGCTCCACCCCCAACCTCGGCTTCCTTTTATCAGGCTTTTTATTTATACATCCTTGATATTTAATCCAAACATGATCTGGTGTCCATTTTATTCCTGACAGTGATTCACTTAATTGATATCAGACTTGTCCTGACCTTGCATTCATCACTTTTTTCACTACTGTAACATAGCTAAGATGGCATGTGCCTTTTCTATCAATATTTGCATTGTTCTGATAAGCTTTTCTCTTTGGTACCTCAACTCCATGAATTTCTGCATCATATTAGAGTGGCAGTTATGTTTCATCCTTCTGCTGTTGAAATTGCTAGGTGTAGCTGGAAGTTCTATTTTAATTGGTTTTTGTCACAATTCTTGACAGCTGTTTGAATACAACATGAAACACCATCTTATGTCTCCTTGAGCATTAAATAACCTATTGAAGTCGATATGCCATAAAACAAAAACCAAACCAACTGATATTGAGCACTTTAAACCATAAATATAGAATACCTTAAAACTATATTTTTATCATATATATATATATATATAGGCAAACTTGCCTATTTTCGTACCTTCATCTGACTGTGTTGTCACTAAAAAAAAAAAATTAACTATTCTAACAATGTCTTCTTACAAATCTGAAAAGATTATGACTAAAATTTTGAGTTTTGTCTTCTATGTGGAATTAAAATTTTTCAAAGCCATGTATGCTCTTTCTGCTTACATGGTTTTACCAACTTTGACTTTTGGTCATGTTGATATTTAAGACAATACCAGACGCGACCCATAAACCTGTTGGGATTCTTTTAAAAATAGTTCATGATACAAAATAATGAGGTAACAATATTAATTATCAATTAAACATTTTAATTTTTATTTAAAGACTGTAAAATAAAATTTATTCTTTGATTGAGTTTCATAGTTTACACATTGTGTGAAAATTTGAAATCATATTTAAAACACGCGTAGGTTTTTTTTTTTCCCAAAATAATAATTATATTATTATATAAACTTGTTTCTTCCTCACATTTATATCAAAATATGTAACTGCAGCAAATCAGCATGCATCTCTTTTTGTGTAGTGAATTGTGTAAATATATGTTGTGTTATGCATATTTAAATTGATTTCATAATGTTGTTATAATGTATTATGAATGTTTATTATTTTTCACACAGATAATAGTTGGAATATAAGATGCAAGTGTTTCTTTTTATATGCTTATTGATATAAGAATGTGTATTGAAAATAAATACTGAATTTCCTATTAAATGTCATAAAAATAGAAAAACAGCCCTAACCCAATAACCCTTTGTCTAATTTTAATGAAATTTGGCACTGCACTCAGCAGGGATCTAAGATACTATATGCTCCTAAATTTGTTGGCGTATCATGAATCATTTAAGTTGTAACTGAGGAACACACACACATACAAGATAAGAGTTTTTGTATTATATAGATAGATAAGTGGTCTTGAGAGAAAATAAAAGATAAAAACAGTGCAGGAGGAGAGAAAGGGAAGGTGAAATTTGATTCCCTTGGAATTTCCATACAAATAAGCACTTTTTGGTTTCATTTTTGCCTTTATTCTAAGTTGTTTGAAAGTTATGGGACATTCAGAATAGTGTGTGTATAGGGTGGGGGATTGGAACTTTTTAGGAGTATCTGTTAAATTTTCAGATGACTACCTTCTATGTGCTGTGTCCCTTCGGAATATTGGTGACTCTCCACAATTTCCTGTATTTTGTAGCTCTTAATAAATTTTGTCTTTTTGCTATCTCTCCTAAACCTTGCTCTACCATCCATTTATTCAAACTCGCTAGGTAGGTTATGCAATTTTTCTTTTGTCCCTTTTGCCTTCAATTTGTCCTGTGAGTATCAAATTTTCCAAGTCCTCTTTCCTTATGTGCCCTAGACATGTCAACTGTCTCTTCCTGATGTTAAATATAATTGTCCTTTTGTTCCTATTTTCTCTAAAACTTTGTTGTTACTCACATGTTCAGCTCATGGAATTCTCAGCATCCTTCTGTAGAACCACATTTCTGTTGCTTCAAGTTTCTTCTTCTGTGAGGAGATTGTCCAGCATTCATGTTCATATAAGAGAACTGATATTACATAACAGTTCAGTAATCTTTGTTTTTAAAAATATTTTTCTATTTTTTAATACTTTGTTCAACTTTTAGAAGACATCTTTCACTATGCGCCTTTGGATTTCTGTATATAAAAATTATCTAAATGAGTTTTTATTTCAAATGCTTTCATCTATTTGCCATTTTCAAGGATTTTGGTTGTGATATTGTAAATGGTTTGTAAGTTGCTGGATGGTAGACATTTTTGAATTCACGAATATGCTAGCATGGACTCATTTAAACAAGCATAAAAATGTACCAACCCCAATATGCAGTATAAACACGAATGTGATAAATGCACATCTAAATGCATAAAGAGTCTAAATAATAAGCGAAACCCTTATCATAAATAACAAGAAAAAAAGAAAATCGCCCTTAACAACATCAACTATGAACACATCCATAATATACGTGACATGGCTTCTTTCTGTCTTTTCTACAAATATTTTCATGGTAACTACTCTGGGAAGGTTTTTTTTTCCTGGTGCTTCAACTATATGAATTTAAGTGTGCTACTAGATTGGCATCTAGGTCCCACCCTCTTACTGTTTAAATAGTTAAATGAAACCACCACTTCTACTCCAACAGTTTCTTTTCTCACACTTCTTGCCTGTGGAATTCTCTTCCATTTACTTGCTTCCCTTCAAAAATTTAAATGCAACGTCAATCACCGTTTTCTATCTTCTTGAATCCTGTTCATCTTTTTTCCTTTCCTCAATCCTGTCTATACACAATCTTATTTTCTCACTTTTATTCCCTGTAACCCCCAACATACTAGTGACATTGCCACCTTACTTGGGATGAAATGATTAAAAAAAACTAATTACTGGCTGTATTTGAGGATTAAAGCAACTTTGTGATGTCAGGCACAATCAATTTATTTTTCAGATTTCATATTATTTTTACATTCAGTGTCTAACATACAATCATATTTCTTCTCAATTTGCTTTCAACATTTTTTTTTTGGTTTTTAGTACGTACTAAGCTAGTTATTTATGAAAATAATTCCCCAAATTTTTTAAACTACTCCCCACCCTTAATCAGCCACAATTCTCTTCTGTTCATTATTGTCACTTTAAAACTAATTACCATTTTTCCTTTGTACAGGAACAAAGTGGAGAGAAAAAAGACAAATCTGGTGGTGTTGGAGTGACAGCATCTACAAAATCCACGGCTGTCATAGATTCAAATCCTAAAGACATTCAGTGGCCCCCAGGGAAATGGCGCCTTGGTAAAAGCTGTTGTCATGCCACTCACCTCTTCATGCGTTATGCCACAAAAGGTTGGTTACCATCTTTCTTTAGGTTGGCACTTAAATGTTCCACCACAATTGGATCGATCAATTGATCCAGCACATTTTTTTTTTGTTTTTTAGTCAAGGCTGTTAGATTACAAGATGACACTTTAACTTTTGACTATTAAACTAGTTTATGTGGCAGGTACTCAAGTTGCTAGCGATTTTGTTATACACTAGTAGATATTTTTTTTCTACTTGTTTCCATTGAAGTCATGTTAATGCTAATAGCCGTTTTCTCATAAGGAAACATTTGGTGTTCATTGCTTCAGGGCTACTGTCAGTTGAAAATTATAAAGTCTTTTTCTTAAAATAGGTTTCTCAAGTCTACTTACTGTTGTCACTCATTCTTGTATTGATAGGAGATTCCTTCCTAACTTTTTTGTTTGAAGTCCTGTGGAAATCAACATCTTGATTATGTCATTATTTTCTCGTTGCATTACTTCTACTATCCATTTTAGGTGTTGCTACTGTTGGAAGTCTTCACGTGATGTGGTTTCTGTTGTTTAGTACAGTTCTTTGTGATTTTATGGCACCAGTCCACATGGTTTCCATTCATTTACTCAAAGCCACCTTTAACCATCACTCTGAGAAAGCAATTATATACAGTTGACATTTTAGATATTTCTAAATGGCTTTGATGCAATGCATGACATCCACATGAAAGTCTCTATCTGATGAAGCTATTTAAGTTCATGGTTTGAGTTTTTAAAGCTTAATGTTTTGGCTTTGTAGCAACTTGTGGTGTTGTGTGAGATGACTACTAGCACAGCCTATTCTATGTTCAGTTTCCTAATCTCTTACACTAAATTTGTTAAAACTGATCCACATATCAAGATATTTGAAGTGTTTATTACTAATTCAACATTTCTGAATTTTTATGATTGATTCAGGGTACATGTCGTCATTGCTTTCATTCTGATTCCAAATCATAATTTCTGTTTTGAAAAGGTTTATCTTGAGTCTTATTTCTTGGAATACTTGGTAGAGGATGTTGATTTATTTATTTTTTTCTGTTCATGATCCTTCTTTGCATTTAATAGTTGAAATCGTTTCTGAATGTAATGTGTTGTCATCATTGTATTTGGTATAGACTTTTGTCAATCCAAAATGAAAGTGACTTGCTTCTCTGAATTTGAAAATCTTTCAAAGGTGTTAAAAATGACTACAAAACTGAGTGATGATGGATTGGTGTATGAGAGAATTGTTTTTTTTTTTTTTTTTTTTTTTTAACAATATTGTTCACTCTGTACAAGGCCCGAGAGCCACTCGATATAGAGGATTAGAGAGTAAGAGGCACAGTGAATGAAGTAAACAGTTAATCCTAGACTTGAACAGCTTAATATTGTAGTGTTCAGGGAAGCATCCTCTTGAGAGTCGGTTCCACAAAGCAGCAGTTTGGGAGAAGTTGCTCAAGTGAAGTTTTTCAAATGGAATATGAAATAAAATGGAAGTAGTTCACTACAATGCTCAAAGCATGTTGGGATCTTTGGCTGTGAACATTAGAACTGGTCGAACTATGGAATGTATTTTGTCTGAACGCTTTCCATGGAATTAGCAATAGAGCTGCAAAATGCTTGTGACGTTTCGTCTGAGAAAGGAGATGCAGGGTAGAAAATAATTTATCACTCACAAGGACAGTGAAGATTGGGCAGCTCCTCCCATATATGTCAACACTACTACTTCTTCGGTCTGATCTGTCTCTTGTAGAGGATAGCAAGGGGAGTCAGGTACTTACTGGAGTGGTACAGGGAATTGACTATTTTCAGCATCTTAGCGATGAACTGAAATGTATTAGTTTTGGAGTCTGGAGTGAGTTTAAGTCGCAATAGGCATTCGAGGCATGGGGTCTTCCTGAGGGCGAACATCCATTCATCATGATTGGTGATAGTTCTGGGCTTGATTGGTGATGTGTTAAGAATTTCTTTGACTCTTTTCTGCTTTTAAGAAAATCACTGTTGTATATTTTAGTTATTAGATCAGAAGGAACAAAAAATCTCTCCCTTTCCCATTCACAGAGATTATTGTATGGATTTTGTCTTTGGTTTACCCTCTTTTGTAACATAAGTTTATCTTCAAAGACTATTTCAATATTTTATCAGAAACTATGGCATTTAAAGAATGCCTTGTTAGAAACTAAAGAAAGCTTTGACCAATAGATTTCTTTAGGATTTTTATGCAATCTGATTTTGAATACTTGGATTATTTACATTACTCTGACTGTTAACTTCATCATTCATAATGTCATGTTCACAATGTTTCAGCTGTTGCATGCTCCAGCCTTCTTCAGGTGATTGAATCTCTGAGATGAGGTATTATGATTACTTGCATCATTTACACTATTTGGACTATTATCCTCATCTTCATTGCCATATTCACAACGTTTTGGCCTTTGTACACTCCTCCCTTATTCAGGTGACTGGAATTTCAAACTGAACCTTTTATTTCATCCACCGGAGTAGATTGTTCTAGTTCCACATGCCATGCCTCTTCTGGATGTCTCAGTTATTTCACTTTAGCTCAACTCTCCAAGTTTTGGTTCACCACCACTGTGGTCTGGTATTGAACTCACAACCCTTTGAGTCTAGTCACTGGATCTAGCCAACGTCTTTATCCACTGGGCCAGTGTCCTTGAAATATTGTGAATATGGCAATGAAGATGAGGATAACAGTTCGAATAATGTAAATAATGCAAGTAATCATAATACCTCATCTCAGAAATATAGACAGATACTGGTTTTGAATATTCAACAAGAAAATTGGATGCTTGAAATTCTGACTTTGGAATCTGTTAATAATGCATTCATCAAACTTTAATTTGTTGAAATATTTGAATAATTTTATTTTTTTCTCATGTGTCTATATGTATACATCTATATATTATAATTATCCAACTTCTGTATGTTTGTCACTATAAGACAACAAAAATGGCACATCATAGTACAGTTTGTGTTAGAAATATTTAAATTATTAAAACGTTTTTTTCCAGGCTTTTAAAATAAAGGCTAGAGTTCAAAATTCCCTGTAGGTTACCCAGATTGATATACACCTGAGGCAGGCTGGAGGATACAATGGCCAAAACATTGTGATAACAACAACAAAGATGAGGACAATAGTCCAAGTATAAATAATTCCTCATTATAGAAATTCAGACAGAAAATATATAGGGTCTAATTAAGTGCGAATGCCACAGTACTTTAATATCAGCCTCAAAAAAAAAAATAAAGTTTGCTATGTGTATATGTAATGAAGATGGATAGAGAAAAATAGAGAAAGCTTGTGCAACAAAATGGTTCATAATAATGGCATAATTTTGCTTTGTGTCCAGAAATTTTATGGCAATTTTTAAAGGAAATTAAAGCACAAAGCAAAATTATGCCATTAATATGAACCATTTTGTACAACCTTTCTCCATTTTTCCTTCAACTTAAAGATTCCATCTTCGCAGAATTTTGGTGATTTCTCAGCAAAAAACTCATTAAGGTGTTTTTTTTTTATACCATCCAAAGAATTAAAATTTTTACCATTGAAATTATTTTGCAAGGACCTGAGTAAATGAAAATCCAAAGTAGCAATGTCTGCTGAATATGGTGGGTGGGGTAAGAGATCCTACACCAAGCTGTAACAATTTTTGCTGGGTTGCCATGAGGTTTAGTACTATCCTGATGGAAAACAACACCTTTCCTGTTTGCCAATTCTGGGCATTTTTCTTGAATTAGTGCCTTTTAATTTGCTCAGTTGTGAGCAGTAATTTTCAAAATTAATTGACTGGTTATTTGGCAGAAGTTCATAGTACAGGATTCCTTTCCAATCCTATCAGATGCACAGCATTTCTTAGGATGAAGACCTGCATTCAAGGAGGCTGAAGTTGGCTCATGTTGCTTACTCAAGGATCTTTTTCACTGAACATTGTTGTAAACAATCTATTTCTCATCACCTGTAAAATTTGCTTAAAAAAGGGAGCATTTTCATTGCGTTTTTACAGCAAATCACAAATGAAATGCAATCCAAAAGATTCTTTTCACTCTGATCATGTGGTACCTAAACATAGTATCAATTTGAGTATCCAAGTATAACTAAATGCATGTGGATAGTGGATTTTGATAAATTTAGTGTTTCTGCCAATTCCTGCATTGTAATGTGGGTTATTCTCAAAGTTTTAATTTGGTCATCATCTGTAGTGAGGAGTCTGCTTTGAGCATTCTTCATCAATAAGGCTACAATCACCAACTCTAAACTTCAAAAACCACTTTTGTACAGTTCTCTCAGCTAAAGCACCTTCACCGTACACAGCACACATCTTTTTTTATTTTTTGCGGGGCATTTTTGACTTTACAGTAAAAAAAAAAAAATCAAGTGACTAAAATGTCTCTTATAAACTTCTATTTTCATAGGGATGCAAAATTGACACAAATTAAGTAATTTTAAACTTTCTTTCTCTGATATAGTTTGAAGTGTGCTCTAATTGGAAATGTAAGCATATATCTGTCGATAAATTTGATGTGTTCTAACATGTTAAAACAGGAATGACTAAAAATCAGCATGAACTTTCTGGACAATGGAATAAATTTTATATATATATATATATATATATATATATATATATAGTTCATCAATCCTGTTGTGTACTTCTCTTTCACAAAGAGATCTTGTGCCAAAACTTAGCTACAAAGATGTTCAGTGTATTAGTTTTCATGGCCAGTGAAAACCGTTAAGATTATTGAATAATTCAGTTACATCTGAAGTCAGTGCTGAAAGTGAATTTGCCGACTCAATGTCGGAGTTGAGTACTGTTGCCTTCTTTCTGTGTTAGATGATGTATTGTGTTCATTTGAAGTCTAGGAATTTTTGGTGAGTTGGCTGTTGTTTTGTTGAAATTTAAGAACGGCTTAGTTTTTTTAAAAGTAATAATTTAATATTTGTCCAAATAGATACATGCATTTCCAATATGTGTGGATTATAAGAAATATAAGTAGAAATTGTAAATGCTAACTAAATGAACCTAATGAACAGAGTTTGTCTTTGATTTATTATACGTAGGGTATAATGTGGGTCACGTTGCAAAATGTGGGTCTTGCTGTGGGTCTCGGTAAAAAAAAAAAAAAAAAAAGTTTGAAAAATGCTGGTCTAGATAGATGAAATGTGTAGCAGTAAGAATTAAAGTGTGTCATTCAAAATTTTCAAGTATAGTAGACTCCAAACTGTAGAAGGCTAAATGTGTAACATAAGCAGGTCTGTATTCAGTTGTGTTTTAGCCTTCAACACTTGGATTTCTTCACTGCTTTCGACTGATCCATGTGACATGAATTATTGGAACCAACTGTAGCTTTTCTTTTGAACATCTCTTCCATCAAACTATTAAAAGATAAATCACAAAGTTTGTGTTTTTGAAATTGGTAACCATTCACTTTGTGTCCTTGAAACTTCTTAACATAATCCTAGAATTTTTTTTTTTACACAGATAAAATATCAAGGGAGTAGACTGTGCTTGTTGCACTGCTCATGTTTAGGGATATGTTGTCTAATTTTTATTTAAAAAAAAAAAAAACAAACTGGTGGGGGGCTGTCAGTGTAATCAGGATGAGCAATAACTGAGCATTACTAAAAATAAGAACTAGAAAAGATATCCCTAGACATGAGCAGTAAAATGAGAACAGTCTACCTCCATAGATTAAATAAAGTGTTCAGTTCAGAATTCTCTGTAGGTTACCAAGACCTATCTAGATTCAAAGAAAGATTGTTGGAAATAGTGAGAAATATCGTATTAAATGCCAGGAGGGAAAGAATTCTTAAAATGAATTAAAAGTGACCCATGTCCATGCTTTCCACTGATCCATCAATGATTACCTCATGTTGCATTTTTGATCTCATCTACACATCCCAATGTGTAGCTGGCAATACGAATGGATAGCACAGAAAACACGAGTGACAGACAAGTTCGTTTCTCGCCAAGAGCAGACCAAAACTAATCCCATTTCCAAACTTGGCTTAATATAGACCATCTCCTGGATATACCCTACTCCATTTTTGTTGCCACTTGATCTCCAAAAAGCTCTTATCCACTCCTGTTCCTTTCAGTCAAAATGGATGCCACTTAGGAAAGTAGACTTGAAAAAGGTCCAGAAACACTTGAGATCGAGATAAAACTACATTTTTGTCTGTGTGTGTTCTTGGCATCACTTCTTGTCTCTTGTTTGTTTTTTTTTTATTGTCTTTTGTTAACTTTCTCTTTCACTTTCCTTGAGCTTAGCTGATCGAAAATTACCTGGAGCTGAAAAGAGGAGTCAGTATTACATGAAATATGGAAACCCAAATTATGGGGGTAAGTGTTTAAAATATTTTCATCTTTTTGTTTCCTTTTATTGTCACATTTTAGGCCACCATACATGCACCATCCATTTCTGTAAGAAATCAGATTAAACAAATAAATACCAACAAGAATTCAACTATATTTTCTTTTTTAATTTAAGTAAATTTCTGAAAGAAAGAAAAAAATCCTTCCCCTTCATCGATGGTGGAGGAGTTTTAATAAATGATGCACATATATAAACATACAAAACTTCTTTCTAAACAAGTGAATGAGAATGGAATAAAAAATAAAGGTTGAAGGACTTAAATGTAGATATTTCTATTATTTATCTCTAAATGTGAAAAAACATTAGGATCTGATTGGAAGAATGAATTTGGCTTTAATAAACAAAGCAAGAAAATTCTAGATTATAAAATCCAAATAAAGGTTGAAGGACTTAAATGTAGATATTTCTATTATTTATCTCTAAATGTGAAAAACATTAGGATCTGATTGGAAGAATGAATTTGGCTTTAATAAACAAAGCAAGAAAATTCTAGATTATAAAATCCAAATAAAGGTTGAAGGACTTAAATGTAGATATTTCTATTATTTATCTCTAAATAGGAAAAACATTAGGATCTGATTGGAAGAATCAATTTGGCTTTAATAAACAAAGCAAGAACACTTTTTCCATCAAATTTTGGTTAAAACAAAATCTTGAATGAACCATTAACAAATTTGTTTTCTGTTTATAAACTAAATTGAAAATATTCAGGAGAATTTAAAACATTAAACAGAAATTTTAGTCCTAATGCAATGTAGGTTATTCTAAATTTAAGATTGGTAATGGTAAATGAAATTCTTTGACAAAATGAATATATAGAGAACAATTCTCAAGAAAAATTCTTAAGTTCCTATGAGCCTGGAAATGAATTCATTAGAATATTTTCAGGTAAAATTATTCAAGGTAATTGAAAAGTTTAAATAAAAATAAAGTTGTCATTTTTATTAGAATTATAGTAAAATTTATCAAATACGTTTTCCTAGTTATTCATTTTTAAACTTTAATGTTTTAACTTTTCAATTTATTTTTGAAACATTTTAATGCCGTTTTTATTATGCTACTAACAACTTCTAGATTTTATTCCTTTTTCTGAGATTTTTCTGTGTCACTGTATAGATCAGGTATGGGCAACCTTTTCCAACCAGTGGGCCGCATGTGATATGGCTCATCATAAGGTGGGCTGCACTACTAAAAAGATTCAAGGTAATTTTTCGTTGAAAGTGCCTCAGCCATTTTCACTACAGAGGAACATTTACATAAGTGTCTGTCTTAGAAATGGTGAAAAGTTTTTGTTTTTTTTTTTTTTTTTTATCTTTTGGAGAAATGATTTTTGTATAATTAAAAATTAAAGTTAAGTAAATGCTATGTTTTTTAAATAAACAGTATTAATTATATTTACTGGCCTGAGTATTTGAGAAATTTCATAGAAAATGTGTTCTCCGACAGGAATTTATAAACGGTAATTCAGACTTTGCTAACCAGACGTTTCTCTGTAGCTGAATGGTACAGCACATCAGGTCAAATGACAGTTTCCACAGAGGAATACAGTTTCAATTCCTGTTGGAGAATGCATATTTTCTACAAAATTTCTTAAACATCCAGGCAGGTAAATGTAATTAATACTGTTTAATTAAAAAACAGAGCATTTCCTTAAGTAAACCTTATCTACAAAAATAAGGTATAAACAGAAAATATTAGATAAGTGTTGTATTTAATCCATTTCATAATACAGATGACAGCATAATTAACACACACTGCTTTGTGTGATTAATTTCTAATTTATTCACTTGAAAATACAAAAAAAAGTTAAATAATTTCTTCTCCAGAAAAAAAAAATTCTAAAAATTTCTTGTCTCTAAAGCAAAAGATATTTACACGTCTGATCTTCCTTAATGAAAATTGCCTATGGTTTAAAATGATGACAATGTTACCTTCGACAAAAGTTTAAAAATTCAAGAAAGCTTGTACTTAATCACTGTCTATGTATGTAGTCATGTATGTATGTATGTAGTCATGTGTGTGAGTGAACAAATGAGAACAAAAAGAAACAAACAAAATTTTAAGAAATGTTTATTTCCCTCATGAAATTAGGCATACGATTCAGAAAGCCAAAACTGGCTGCATGTGACTCATGACTGTTATAGCTAATTTTGGTAAATCCAGAATGTTTTATAATAGTGAAAACCTTTGAACAATTAATTTGAATTGCAACATACAAGTCGAGTTTTCAAGCCTAAAAAAAATCTTTCCAAAATTAGGGATCGACTTATATGGCAGGTGAAAATTGCAAACCATTAACAACGAGTTGTAAACAAGTGGGACAGTACTCCTAACAATTATTTTACATCACTTACTACTTATCGTACCACCAGAGGGCTGCCACAAATATATCCCACTAAAACTTGTGTTTGGTGAACATATTTGGCATATTAACACAGAAATGAATATAAAATACTAAAATAGTAATACAAATTCAGTATTCTATTAATGCTACAACACACATCGTATCCAACACTTGATACACTAAGTGTAAACATTGACCAAAGTGCTATTTAACTCAGGTGCACATTCAGATCGCTAGGCATGGTATGCGTGTCATCTGCACAATTCCATATTAGTAATGACAGTTTAATGACATATTGGCAATTTATTGAATATACACATACTCTAATGACACAATGGCTGTGCAATTATGGTACAACATTATTTTAAAGATTACTTGAAAGTTACCAAATTTGCATTGATGATTAAAACCTTAACTCTAAGATACCACGTAATTTAAAAAAAAAACATTACTATAACTCATACATATGGTAAATTTCATCTGTTCATATGACTGATGCAAATGGTGGATAAGTGATACTGTGTTTTACAATAACATACGATACGCAATAGTACTATGAAAAAACTACCTGTTATGATGTGTAATCTGTGGTATGAATATCGTATAGAAGTTGATGTTGACTTTAATGTGTTTATCAGTACATGTGAAGAATTTTAAATGTTCACTAAGTTATACCAATACAATATATGGTACCTACCAGTGTATGTTGTTTATTTGCTATACAATGCATATAGAAAACTATTACAGTCAGTGTCTCAATATACAAATAACGTGTGACCTTATGTAATTTGGGCACAGGTTATTGTATATTGTAGTTTAACTTTATTTAGAGGTCAGCCTAAGTTTTGGGCCACTATTAGCTTAAAGTATGTTTGGGGGAAGTCAACCAATACAGTAGGTAAAGGTCATAACTTAGAATTTTGAGGTAAAAATCTTGATGTTGATTTGTACTCTGCAATTTATGGTATTATAACACTAGTAGAACCTGTAAAATTTATGGTATTATAACACTAGTAGAACCTGTAAAATTTTGGTATTATAACACTAGTAGAACCTGTAAAATTTATGGTATTATAACACTAGTAGAACCTGTTTTGGTATTATAACACTAGTAGAACCTATAAAATTTATGGTATTATAACACTAGTAGAACCTGTAAAATTTATGGTATTATAACACTAGTAGAACCTGTAAAATTTATGGTATTTATAACACTAGTAGAACCTGTAAAATTTTGGTATTATAACACTAGTAGAACCTGTAAAAAATTATAACACTTAGAACCTGTAAAATTTTGTATTATAACACTAGTAGAACCTGTAAAATTTATGGTATTATAACACTAGTAGAACCTGTAAAATTTATGGTATTATAACACTAGTAGAACCTGTAAAATTTATGGTATTATAACACTAGTAGAACCTGTAAAATTTATGGTATTATAACACTAGTAGAACCTGTAAAATTTATGGTATTATAACACTAGTAGAACCTGTAAAAATTTTACTGTTTTTCTATTTTAATTGTCTCATGAATCATAATTCTTAAAGTTAATGATTGAATTAAGCTACTTGTGAGTTTCATGATTCTAAAATATCCATGGAAATTATCCTCTATCATGTCATTCAATATTTGTGCTAACAAATTTAACAATATTTCAATAAATATCATAAATATGAATGAGGGTTATTTAAAGAAGTGAGAGGGTACAAATAAAAACATTTCAAATTGACATGTTTTTCATTTCACTGGAGCAGACATTAAATACACGAGCATTATTGCCTCCCCTCTCTTCTCTTTCACTGAAACCAAAACTGCATCTCTGATGTCTTTTTTGGCTTTCATCGCACTCAAAATGGAATTGTCCATAATTTATGAAATATTGGCAGGGTGTAATGGTTGTGCTAATAAACAGAATTATGTTCTGGTATTTGGTGACATATGACTCAAGCAATTTCAAATGCATTTAATTTCATTTAAATTTGTGACTATGATGTAAAAAAAACTTTAATGTAATGGGATAATACTTTAGCAATTTACTAAAGAAAGCAAAAATCTCAACTTTACATGTAAGGACTGGGGGGATATTTTCTTGGGATTACCAGGTGCTGTAAGCTTGGATGTGCAGGTGGTGTAATGGGTAATGGCTTGGAATTGTTAATCAGAGAGTCAAGTTTCAATTCCCATTGAGTTCATTATATCATCTCCTCCTAATTATAGGTTAATAATGTATCATTAACCATTATTATCTCTAAAAAAAAAAAATTCTTACAATCTAAAAATATTTTCTGACCATAGTCCTGGATATGACGATAAACTACATCCAGCAGCAAGGCCTCTGATCGGTGGATTGGAGTTTTTGAGGAGCTTCAAACCACCTTTTAATTGCTGTTGTTCCTAGGTCCACCCTGACCTGGAGTGATAGCACTTGTTAGGGTCCCATCTATGGGTAAATAGTGAGTCTTCAAACAAAAACAAAACCCTATAAAAGTATAAAAATATATATATTTTTATATAAAAAATAAAAACCATACCTATTTTGTAGTAAAATGACCAACAATACATTTTATCTATAGTTGCAGGCATACAGTTGTGTTCAAAATATATTTAGTTGAAGCCATAAATTGTGTTCAAATTATGTAGATTTCGGCATTAAATAATGCACACAGGTTGATATGGCATTAAACAAAATCAACCAACCAATCAACTTTAGATAACCTGTAAAGGGTTGATAAACCATAAAAAACAAATCACAATCTGTCAACAATTACTTGTTACAAACAGCTTTGCTGTACACTGGGTGGGGGGATCTATTATTTATGCTGCTGCTGCTGCTATTTTCTGTTTGCTAGTTTCTCAAATGGATTATTAGTTTTTTTTTTGTTTTTTTTTTCATATTTTTCTTTCAACATAAAAGACTGCATCCTCTCTTGCCTTCCATTAAGTTCACATAATTTCCATAGTTTACTCAAGAAATTTCAATACAATTCTTTATTTTATTCACATGTAGAAGCTTGGAGAGCACCCCCCCCCCCCAAAAAAAATTAAAGCAACAAATATGAAGATGCTCATTGGAAAGAATCTTTAAATAGAAGTCGTCTTAGACTTAGTCAAAAATATATTTTCTCTTGCTATGGTACAAAATCGTTTTTATTTTTTTTTAATCCTGTTACAAAGTGGCTTGATCGCAAATGGCCTTATATTGGTGTCAGTGTTTAGAACAGTGGTTCTCAACCTTTTTTTACCCATGGACCCCTTTCCCCTTCTTTTTATCTTGGTGGACCCCTTCATAGCTATTGGACATAAGAACAATTTTCTATTCTTCACTAATATAAATTTTAAGGTTTTAATTATCAAAGAAATAGTATACGATTAAGCTTTATTTTTAAATGAAAACTAATTTAATACAAATAAAATATTCTACTATAATTATAATAATAATTATTATTACTATTTTTAATTAACACAACAATTGTGTTTTGCCTGTGGACCCCCGGAAATATTACATGGACCCCTAGGGTCCATGTAGACCCCGGTTGAGAACCACTGGTTTAGAACAATCATAACTGGATTCATAGGGCCAAAGAAATTAAGTTTCATGCAGAATAAAGCAACGTAATGGTTTTTTTTTTTTTTTTGCTTTCATATTCAAAACTTTAATGAAAGCATTTGTAATTTTTTTTCCCAATTTTTCTTCAAATTTTTTTTTTTATTTCAGGAATGAGAGGACTTATCAGTAACTCTCGGTGAGTTGAACACTTTTGTCTTCCTTTCTTTTTTTTTTCCCCCATTTATACAAGGCTTCATCCATTAAAAGGCTAGAGAGTTAATCAAGGTTGAGGTTTAGTTAAAAATGATAGTGATGAATGATGTGTTTGATATGAATAAAAGCGGAGGTGGTAGCAAGTGAAGATTATGAGGATAAGGAGGATAAATAACAATTCTCTTGCACTTGCAGAGGTTAAGATTGTAGTGTACAAGGTTACTGTTAAATTGTTTATGAAGAATAAGGTGTGTGATATGAATGGAAGAGGAGATGGTAAAAAGTGTAAATTATGAGGATGAGGAGGATAGATAAAGATTGACCTTTGTCTTGAGGAGGTTAATATTGTAGTGTTCAGGGAAGCATTTACACAGGAGTCTGTTCCACAAAGTGGCAGTTCTTGAGGGAAAAACTGAGTAGAACCTTCTCCTTACATTTGGAATACAGAGGAAATGAGGATTATTTGACTCTTTAGAAGTAGCATGTATCCATCTTCCTCCAGCTATGGGTTAAATAGCAGAGCAAACGAGGCTCTCCTGCCTTAAATTGATAAACTCTAAATTTGTATCCAGCAGGATGGGCTCACTCAGGCTATTGTGCTCAAGATGCATCACAGCTACTATCGCTGCAGCACACATGATGCATCTATGACTCCAATGGGTTAAAGATCTCATCATGTGACATGTGTCTATCAAATATTTTTGAAGTGGTCGAAGTAAATCTGTGTCAGCATTTCATTTCAAAAAAATAAATTCTTTATCTTTTATCTATAGTGGTGGTTGGGTGAATTTTTCATTTGTCTCATTAGAAAAACTTAAAAAAATAAAATAAAAAGTAAGTTCCTACCTTTTTAACAGTTTCTTCTATCACACTTCTTGTTTGTGGAACTCTCTTTGTTCTCTCTCTCAGATTCAGTAAACCCTTGCGTCTTAGTGGTTTTATTGCCTTGCTTGGGGTGAAATGGTTAAAAAAAAAAACTATCACTAATTCTTCATCCTGCAGCCTCTTTCCCACACTTGTAATATCACAAGCTTCTTCCTACTCGAATGCTATTTCCATGGCAAATGTTCAGAATAGCGCTCCATTCTTTACTTCCACCAGTTCAAACTTTTACAGTTAGGATATCACCTAAAATAATGAAAGAATTTTTTAATGTATACTTGTGTGCTTAGATGGCCTTATCTTGAAAAGCTGCTGGCAGAGAAGATCCCATTTTTCTGTGTTTTGTTTTCCACCTGATGGAAGCTAGAACCTATTTCCATGTTGGCTGTACACCTGTTAACAACAACCATAAATGAGATTAATTAGTTTGAACAGGTGTCAGTATTAATGGAGTTTTATCCTTTGAAATAAAATCGCAGAAATTCGGACAAAGTCTTTTCATAATTTCTAAAATTTGTTTTACATAACTTTTTTTTTAAATGTCAGAAAGCGTAAAATCCGTTCAGTGAAGAATAAAGAC